GGGAATATCCCGGCCAGTCCTTCTGAACCTCCTTGTACATGTGCTCCTTCAGCGTGTAGGAGTTGTCCCTGGGGTTGAGGTTGGCTACCTGCGATCAGAGGAAGAAGGGTTCTGAGCAACAGCTCTCCCGCAGAGGCACAGGACACAGAAACTCAGACACTGACAGCAGGACACACAGAAACACCAACTCCAGTCCTGCTGCAGGCTTCCGGTCAGCAAACTTCAGAGGCTAAGCCTTGCACAATACCAAAGGACTATTCCAAATAACAAAAACCAAATATCACATTCCTCATTTGGACCGATATGCATTTAACAGTTTTAGGGCTAACAAAGTATTTTATTTTAATTCATCAACTATTTTCAAGGTAAAAAAAAACTAACCTCAAGCCTCAAACATCTGTACTACTGCATGAAAATGCACAGCTCAGACATGTCAGGGCAATGTTCTGCATCTTGTACAATTCCAGCAGGGAAAGGGTTAAAGCAGAAGGCAGGGTTACTAATCAAACAGAGAGCAATCGATGGCTGGAATGGCTCCGTCTGCACAGTGGCAGTGTCACTGTCTCCTGGACCTGATGAGTCAGCAGCCCAGGGCTCGTGGGTGGTGGTTTTTTCTACTCCCTATTCTCTACTTAGAAGGTACACCCACCACACAGTCTGCACAAAATATAATTATAAAGATCGTACAATATTCAGCGTAGGGACTTCTGTATTCTAAGCTCTGATTATAACCTGCCACTCGGCTCAGACCACGCTATGAAAAACACCAGTCTGCATTCCCCAGCAGAAATGCTGTGCACAGCTTGGCCATAGTCAACATTTTTAGAAATTTAACCCTGAACCTCCTGCTCAAATGGAGACTTGCACACCATCAGTACACACTCAAAAGGCAAAGACCCTGGTCCATTGTGAACATCAATATCTCGGCCCCTGTAGTGTTTAATGAAATAAAGTCACTTTCTCCCCTGTTCAGCGTGGCTGAATCTCCCCGACAGGCCTACTTCAAAATCGCAGAACAAAAACGAGGGAATAAATCAAAATCACGAAGAACTACAAAACTCCTGTGGTTTAAGTGTGCAGCGACAAACATGTCACAATGAATGAAAAAAAGAAATTAAGTTACGATTCTGAGAATCTTTCAGGATATTCAAGAAACTGCCTTTCATGTGCCTAAACGATAAAATACAAGCAGAACTAACCAAACTCTAAACAGTGAGCAACGTGCTCTAACGTGATCATCAGGGGCAGAATTTTTCATACGAGTCAGGAAGAGAAGTCCAACTCCTTGGCTATTAGCGGCATGATCGCTGCCGTGACCATCACAAGGAGTCACACAGCATCTCTCCTGCGCGAACGCAGAACTCCCGACCACTTAAAAATGCCCAGAAGACATCCTGTTCTGGAAGAGGAGACGGGACTATTCAATCGCCCTTAATTCTGCCAAAAGACATCAGCTGCCTCTGGCTAAAAATAGACATACAGAGCGAGTTGTTGCAGTCTGTTGACTTTGCACTATGTCGCCGATGCCTCGCAGTCGAAAAGGGCTGTGCTTTATTTCAGGGGCCTCTGGCAGTCGCTGCCAAACAAGGACGACGCCACCCCAGCATGAAGGAGGCTGGGCCGGCGCAGGGGCGCCCACAGAGACCCGACGGCCCAGCTCGGCGGCCTCACCTGCTGCAGGGTCAGGCCCAGCGAGTTCTTGTCCTTCTGGTTCACACCCTCCCTCTGCAGGCGGGCCAGGATCTCGGGCTTCTTGTACGGCCTGAGGGCCAGCAGGTGGATCACGCGGTCCCGGTACGGCCGCAGGGCGACCGGGCTGCTGGCGCTGCTCTTGCGGATCGTGGTGGCGGGGTTAATGGGCGTCGACCGCTTCCTTTCAGGCGCGGGGTCCGGGGCGCCTGGCGCCGGCTTCCGGATCTGGACCCTCTTACCTGGGAGCGGAAAACACGGAACGGAGGTAGCAAGGAGGCGACAGACAACACCTCCAAGAACATTTAAAAAAAAAAGGGGAATCTTTCCTCATCACAGATCGAAATGGTACGACGCATTCCCATCCGCTGCAGAGGGGCTTGTGTGAGCACAGGCGTGTGGCGGGAAAGCAGAGCTGCAGTGCAGCGGATCGGAGGGACCGGAGCGCGATCTCCATTGGGACCCTGGGAGCCCGAGTTCACAGCCCCAGCTCCTCTGCAGGGCTGCACCACGACACAGAAGGAGCCTCGCGCCACTACCTCCTCCTGACAAAGCTCTTCCCCCCGCCAGAACTCTCCGGCGGCTCCCAGGGCTCAACGCACAGACCACCGTGCACAGACAAAACGCCACGACCAGGTCTCTTAACGCGATTCTGAAAAATCATTCTGTTCCACTTTGTTGGCTGCTGCCCTGCAGATCCGCAGGGCCCCGGACTGCAGCGCTCGGAAGGAGAGAGGGAGCTTGCCGAAACAAATGCAGCCCCTTGTTTAGAGAGATTTCAAACTGCTATATGGAGAAAACTGCCAATGTCACCTTTCTGAGAAGTCGGATTCTGGCAAAGGATGGATCTCGCAGAAGAAATCACTTGAATTTTTAACACGGCTTTTGGCAAAACAGCTTTGAGTACTGTGCAACATGGGATTTGTTTTCTTGTAATGCTGCAAGCCTGGGAACCCTTACACTGTTAGCCTGTTGTTTACTTCACAGTAAACACACTTAAGCTGGTTTATGAATGGTGGGCTACATTCTCCTTTACACAACTTAATATTTCACATTCTTTAGCGTCTTGGATTATTATCCTTGCCAGAGGTACAGCTGGGGAGAGTGGTTCAGCTGTTCTTCACTGGTGACTTACTGCGATTCCCGGCTTGTGACTCTTGGGGGAGGATAACCGGTACAGCAGGACAGACCTAGCGATCAAGGGCACCCCCTTCCAATTTTAATGCCAACAAAACCAGTGGACTCAAACAATTTAACCAAAGAGTGGACGGTAGTAGGGCCTAACAAAACAAATTAAAGAATATAAAAGTTACTCCCAATACTGAAGGAGCCCCTCAAGTTGACTTGGTAAATGTCAGAACTCTGAATTCCTGAATCAAGGCTTCTTGTAACCTTCTCTGTTGCAAGCTGAAACGATTCAGTTCCTTTAGTCTGAGTGTGACATTCCCCCAGGGCCAGGAATCAGTCTACTTGCTCTCCTTTCTACTGCCTCTAGAGCAGCTGTGTCTTTATCCTGGGACCAGAACTGAACATGGAATTCAAACAGAGGTTTATTTAATGATGGGATAATTAATGTCACCTCCTAGACTTACATTCTACACTCTGAAGTATACATGCAAGTGTGGTCTTTTTTTACTGTTTCCCCACCATGTCTGGCTGAAAAAAAGCAATGGATCAACAAACACTCCCAGACCATTCTCCTGCATGGCATTCAATTGGAAGAAGCAATCCGCTATTTCAACTCCACATTCCTGTAAGCAATACCTTGCTCTCATCCACACTGATTTCATTTTCCATGTCTGCCTCATGCTGAACGTTGTCTGAGTGTTGTAGTATTGTTTGTGCTTCTGATAAACTATTTAACACCAACTGCATTGAATATTCTCCTCAGACTATTTCAGGCAGATGCATTTTCCAAGATCACCATGACATTACAGAAGTTCGCATTTTAAACTAAAAGCTTTAAAATGTACTGCGGCTGTGGAGATGTCCATGTAGGTTAAAAACTCATCTCCATTCTCTATGTAGGGAGAAAAAAAGTTAAATTGAAATTGTTCTAAATGCCATAAAAGGCATGAAGCTACTATTGACTATCAATGATGAAAAGAATAATACCAGGTGTCAAGATTATGTCAAAGCAAAATGACTTGTATACTAAATTAAGTACCTGCACAAAGGGTTTAACCCAACCACACAGGTTTAGCTCTGAAGAGGAAGCAATCAGCAATCAGGTCATTTTGCACGTCAGCTCTCACAAACCTCAGCATTTGCTTATCCGAACGCTTCCTGCATTAGCTTTCACAGGTGCAAGTCCTGGTATAATCCAGCTTCGTCTGCACCGGAGAGCAGTGCCTTCTTTAGAAAAGCAGCCAGTGCTCCTGCCCTTGGCTTGCAGTCAAGCTCTTCTTCTGGCTCGAGACTTCACAGGACACGTGCAGCTCAAGGACTACGTTCAACTGGCCTGCAGCAGAAAGTCTTTAGCTAAAATACCACCAGTGCTTCTGGCGAAGTGCAACCTCCTGCACAGACGTCAGGCAAAACAAGTTACAATGACATCACAGCCTATGCAGATCTGAAGTAACAGGTGAAAGGTGAAATGCTTTGCTAATATTTTCAGCTGGGAAACAGGGGCTCAAATGTTAAGCCATAAGGACTGTTAAGCCTGTACGCTTTCGGCTTAACTGATGCTTTGCACTGACCAAACTGAGGAGTTCAGGACACTCATACACAGAATGGAAAATTACTGTACACAGACAGGATGTGGATGTCTGACTGAATAATTAAAGGCCAGAAGGCATATTTGGCTTTGCTGGGTTTCTGCACTAGTCAAAATCTGGGTAAGTAAAATATCTGACTAAATCGCAGATAAAGAGTGAATAGTGCTGGCAGGCTCCATTGTGGCAGAGCAACACATGGTCACTTGTGTTCGCAATAATCCTGAAAAGGACAACATTTATTCCACCGTCTTGGCAAGGCATGGTCTCGAATTAATTGACCTTTCAGCAATTACGATAAAAATAAAATTCCTGTTGAGTTTCCTGCCCGCTCAGCCGATTCCTGCTAACCGGAGGGCTTGTAGAAAACGTGGCTCACACAGATAACGGCACTTCTTGAGTAAGCAGAGCAGGGTTGGATGGCTTCACGGTTCCAAAGATCAGGAAGCTGGTCCCAAGCCATAGTAAATAAAGCCAAAGGAGAATCAAGCCCAGAGACCCAGCGACGCTAGGAAGGCCAGCCTGAGAATAATTTAACCCGGTCTTGTTTTCCTGCAGAGGTGTCAGCTGGTCTCAGGATATGCCTGAGAAAATCAGATTAATTTTTACTTTCCTCCCCAACCTTACCCAGCAGCCAGGAGGTAAATAGCAACTCCGACCTGAAGCAAGAGCAACTGCCTTATCTGCGGGTGAGCCTGCATTCAGGAATGACCTGGCGACCACGGAAAAACATTCCAGAATTTACCCTAGTTCTTGGCCAAGCAGTAACGCTGAACTTTCACTGCAACTGTTAGCTCAGCATGAAACCCTGCGCCCTACCCTGCCTTACCCCCAGGCGCATGGGTAATGCATCGACCCCTTGCAGTTGTGCAGGCTTTCATCACAGAGCCCAGCAGCAGGATCAGTGCACAGAGCCTGCGTGGAGCAGCGCCCTCTGCTCCAGATATGCTGATGCTCAGCTCCTCTACAATACTGTTGTTAAATCGGTCAGCCGTGCCTTCTGTTGAGCTCAAAATGAACTCAAAACGCCAGTGTCACACCGAGGCAGCTTCGTTGGACGCCAGCAGGAACAAATACTCAGATCAAGAGGTTAACAGTTCTACTTTTCCCCAAAACAGAACATAAGGCTTGAAATGGAGCTTGACCGTCAAGTCCCGGGCTTGTGTGTCGGAGAGCTGAGGTGCAGCCCAGCACCCGGCCCTGTGACTGAGGAGGCAGAGAGGAGACTTGCCTACGAACGGCCCTCCAGGCTTGATGACTTTGGTGCTCCGGCTGCTCTTCTCCTCCTCGGCCTGCGTCATCCGCTCCCGCGTCGTCTGGTAGGAGTCGCTGGTGGCGCAGACGGTGATCTTATCCTGCACGGTTCCCAGGGAGGCCAGCTGGGAGGCGCCGGAGCTGAAGACGAGACAAGACGGAGAAATGGCCAAGGTTCCCCCGAGGAGGAGCCTCACCACACGGGGCACGAGCCGGAGGTGAAAACCTCGGAGACCACACCGGGAGAACCGGAGAGCACCACTGCTGCATCTTTTATCGGAGGGACACACAGTACAGTTACTGCCATGATAAGGCATTAATTACTCCTCCTGATGAGCCAACATGGAAAAGGAGGGCAGATAATGGTATGGGAGTCACCAGAGCCTCAGGGTGCAGCGCTGACCGAGCCCTGGGAGTCTGCCACGGCTCCACCCAGGAACAGGCAGTCTTCCAATAATGAAGGGATGGACTAAACAGCTAAAAGCCCCCCCCCCACCAATCCCATGACTTTTCTCCGCAAAGAATGACTGTTTACATGGAAAAAATGACTTTTTGAAAGTGCCATTTCGTCACAAAGCCGCAGCGTGCCCCGAGAGCAAACAGCAAACACAAAATAACAAAAGTAATGGGCCTTGATCTCAGACTGGTGACGTCAGAGCTCAGTTTAACTGGATTAAGATATCGAACTGAGGAAACGCATCGTTATCAGAAACACACTGGACAGCTCATCCTGGGACATGACCCTGCGAAGACTCGAAAGGGCGCCAGGTTAACGCCCACAAACACACTCTCGCGCTGAAGCACGCCCCCGCAGCCACGCGCTGGCCACACCCCCGCAGCCCCAGTGCGCTCACCTCGACACAAACTGGTGCACGCAGTCGAAGCTTCCCTGAGGGTTGTCTTTCCCGACGCTGGACAAGTAAAAATCGAAGCTCCGCAGCTCGTCCGGAGCGCCGGCGCGAGGGATCTTGATGCGCTGCGGGGAGAGAGAGAGGAGATACCCACTGGCCTAGATATCCAACACGCGCGCGGGGGAAAACAGCACCGTGACAAACTGCACTGTGGACACGAAAGAGGAGGCACTTCCTCATCGATTCCTAGCACAGCAGCTAACTCCCAAAACTCATCCGGCTGAGTCCCGGAAGATCCCGGGCCGCTGCCCGCAGCTCCAGGCCCCTCGACTGCGAGCCGAGGGCCTCCCGCTCTCTCTCCATCCCTGCTCTCCTCGCCGGGTTCCCACGAGTTCCTACAGGCTGCGTGCACATCGCCTTCACTTGTGACGTCAAGCCCCACGGCTCACGCCCGCTCTGCAGAGGCAGCTGGTGCCCGACCGCCGTGCGCCACACAGACACCGCTGTGCGCCACCGGCCCAGAAACGACCGCGCGCACCACAGCGCCACACGGACAGAAAGCTGAAGTCACGGCTACCGACAAACTGGAGTTGCAGTAAGCCTCAATCACAAGAAGAAGACAAGTCAGAGGAAATATGAAAAGCTTTTCCCATGTGCTAACCAGCTGCACAGACAAGCTTGCTTAGTCACCGAGAGTCAGGAGAAGTTCACATTCAAGATGTTTCGCACTCTTGTAAAAGGCCTCTGCCTGTGAAACACGCCAAACTGTTTGAAGCTGGAACAACCCCGACACACAGTTTGAATTTAAAATCTCTGTGCAGCTAGGCTTATGAGGGTAACCTTTGTTCTATGTTTATATTAGGTTTCACAATGTTATTAACATCTTTCTGCTTTAGAAAAGGGTTTTGCAGCGTAAAATATTTCAGGGAAAATGCTATCAGAAGGCGAGAACACTCTATTCCTCGAACGGCTCAATTCATAACAGGGGGGCTTGGAGGTGGGGGGTCACAGCTCTCCCCGTCTGGCAGCAGCAGTGACGTTCCCTCCCCCACACCCATGCAGGTCACCTGACTTCACACCCGCTCAACAGGAGCCTCACCCCCCGGGGGTCCCTGCAGACCCCTGCCTGCTCCACATGAGCCCTGCAGGTACAGAGGCACCTCAGCGCCCGGGGGTCCCTGCAGACCCCTGCCAGCTCCACATGGCGCAGGGGTTCGGGAAAGGAGAGCCACCTCCCCGCACCGAAAACAAGGCTGCCAGATGAAGACCCACTCTCGGCAGTTAAAACTGCACTTTCGACTCTGTGACGTGCGGTGCTTCAGTAACAGGGAAACCGGCCGCCGTGCCTGCAGCTGCTGGCCTGGGCCCCTGTACCGATACCAACCAACGCTCTTGGCGGGCCGAGCAGGAAGCGAGGCCGTGTGGTTAGGAACGCAACAGGAGCGAGGAGGCAGGAAGCAGGTGTGCTCGCCCCACGGGGGGCAGCTCCACTCTGGGAAACGAAACCATGACACCCCGAAACCCCAGCCCAGGGCCGGTGGAGGCCAGCAACTGCTCGCCTTCCCTCAGAGGGGCCTGGCGGCCTTGCAACAGTCTCGGTTACTGACGCTGCAAAGGGGACACCCAGACTGAAACTGACGCGACCGAAATGGTTCATGACCATCGTCTCTAAACTCAGCTCATGAAGACTGATTTCTGAGCTGCTGCAGTCTTTTTGGACAAGCTGGATACAATCACTGAAATAAATCTGGTGAACAAAACAGTAACAGATGATATACACGCTCAAGCTCTGAAACCTAAGGCCAGAATAAGCGCACTTGCTGATCTAGAAAAGCAGACATTGAAGGCACCAGGCAGCATTTTCTAGTGGTGACCCGGTAGCAGATGGATTCAAAGTCAATAGAAGAACCGTGAAAGAGCACACCCGCTATTGGGGGTTGATGTTGTCAGTGGTGTGCCTCAGGGATCCATCTTGGGCCCTTAGATCACAAACAGTACTTTCAACCACTTACATGTGGATTCAATCTGTAAAGTACATACAATTTAGAAACAATGGGGAGAGGCAAACAGCAGCAAGGGAATCACAAAACTGGCACGGACCGGACAGCTTTCTCAAATGAAATCGATTGCTAGTAAGTGTCCAAAGCAACCAATCCAGGAAGCAAGACAGGGCGATTCTGAGTGGCAGGAAGAGATAGTCTCGTCCCTTTCATGTTGTTGTAGGCTTTGCTACGTCCACATCAAGACAACATGGAGAAACAGGAAAAAAAAGCAAACAGAACGCTTGGGTGAAGAGCTTAGGATATTACAGTGACGTTTTCGGTTCTGGTCACCACACCACAGAGAGGTTATTACAGCCTAGGAAAGACCCCAGAAAAGAGCAACAGGATGTACTACTGGTCTCGTGCGATTGCCTTTCATGGACAGTTAAGAGAGTAGATGGGGGCCAATCCAGAGAGTTATTTCACAAGGACAAGGGGTCACAATAGCCAGCTCGTGATTTCAATATATTCATTACAGGCTGTTCCTTGGCAGTGAAACATTTTACATTAAACATGAATACAATGAGTTAGAGTATCCTCAGCATCTGGAGTAGAATGGAGTGTTGCCTGGTCATTTTCTAGTAAATTATACCAGAAAAGTATTATCACATTTTCAGATAAACTTCAAAGCAGCTTCCCAGGCTTAAAACACTTGGTCATCGTCTGATTGATAAAACAAGGCAACTCACTCTGTGTGCACATGTGTGGGGAGGGGCGCTACATACAAGACGACCAGGGAATCTGAGTATCACGGACATTGGAACAAAAAAAGACTGGATTCTACATCTGTCACGCAGCTCCTGGGCACCAATTACAGGAGAACTGCAATGCTTCTCACACACTCACAGATAGGGAGACCATAACCAGGCTGATTCCAGAGACTGAATTATAGTGAACTGCAGAAATATAACCGTTTTGGGGCTGAACTGACAAACATGGGGTGTCAAAAGTTTTATCTGAAGAAACTGATGAGACTGTGTAGACGGGAAGAACAGGTAACAGCAGAAGGCCCCTCTCTGAAGTGCCCCACTGTATTCATTAACTTGCTGAGGCCAGCTCCTCTCTGTGAAACCCTTAACCTGTGGACCGCCAGCAAGCTGCGTTTCCACGTCTGACCCAGAGGCTCAGCAGAGCGGCGCAGTGGTCAGGCTTTTGAACTGGTGTCTGAAAGGTTCCCCAGGAGAGACGCCGCGTTATACCTGTGAGCCAGGTGCTTCTAGTCCAGAATCCAGCTGCATAAATGGGAGCAGGTGTAAGCCACTTTGGATAAACGCGTCACTCAAACCAGCGGAGCAGCTGTACGCTCTTGAAAAGCGCAGGCTAGATGCAAGCCCCTCCTGCCTGCAACCACTCCTGTGGAGCAACACGCAGTGCAGTGGGCAGGAGGCCCTCCACAGCCCTGAAACGCACACTTCCTCCCCGCGATCAGATCAGCCTCGTCTGCAGAGTCAGCCGGTTTTCAACACTTGACTTGAGGCGGCGGACAAAGACGGGAGAAGGTCTCGAGCAGTTTCTCCGAGTACTCCAGTGCACATTCTCACAGTCCCCCGAACATAAGGAGTCGACAAAATAACAGCGCGGTCGCCAAACGAAACAGCGCCGTAGCCAGGAGCAAGCTGGAGAGCCGCCACGTGCCACACAGCCCGGGGACGCAGGGAAAACGGACAGCAGACTGTTAAAGAGCCATCTTTATTCTTCCGACACGAGTCGGAAGAATAATTCATGGAATCCTTTCGGCAAGGTTGCGTAGAAAAGCTACATTCTATACCAGAAGGAGCTGCTTCAGCCAGATAGAGACGGCAAGTCTCTCTCTCCAATTGTCTCCACGAGTCTTGACACTCACCTTGCACATCAGACGAGACCGTCTCTTGCGCACACTCACCATCACACACCGAATTAAACACTCTCGATCATTACCAACAGCCTGCCCCTGCTACTAGAGGGGCTTGTTCTGCTCGTGTCACCGAAGATCCCCTCGCAGCAAGCCGCTTGATTGGCAAAGGTAATTGATACTCTGCTGTAAAGCGCTGTGTTGGTGTAATGGCTTTGGCGTGTGACTCGCATGCTGGAGGTCGGGGGTTTGAACCCAGCTCTTGTCATGAATTTTCTAGGGGCGGAGCGGTGGCTCTGTGGCTCAGGATCTGCGCCTGTGGCTGGAAGGTTGCTTGTTCGTACCCTGCGGCCGGCAGAGGAATCCTACTCCATTGGGCCCCTGAGCCAGGCCCTTAACCCCAGCTGCTCCAGGGGCGCCGTATAAATGACTGACTCTGCGCACTGACCCCCAGCTTCTCTCCCTGTCTGTGTATCTCATGGAGAGCAAACTGGGGTATACGAAAAGACAAATTCCTAATGCAAGAAATTGTACAGTATATGCCCAATAAAGTGACCTAAATTGAGAGAGTTTTGTCTGTGTGGAAAAAACCCTTCCCGATTCTGGTAGCTCAAGCAACTACACGCACACACCCATCACCGGCATGACACCCACCGGCCCTCGTGTTGAATTCATTTGAATCCCTCACTGTCCAGGTGAAATAATGGCGCTTGTCACTAGCCACCCAAAGATGTAAGTACCGGCAACAATGCAACTGAAAACACGAAGAGCTTACCCCCTGGAGTCCCATGAACTGGATCGATGGCTGAGGGGAGGGTCCATTCTGAAAAAAAGGAAAAGGAAGTGACGGTTAGCCCTCGAGCATCGCCCACGCTCACGGACGAGTGACTCTGTGGACGCCACCGAGAGGGATGCAGGTTCCTGCCCGCGCCAGTAGGGAGATGTTGAAATAATAGTGTTGTGAATGTACATCCGGACACAACAGACGCCCACAGCATCGCAGGATGATGAAGTCTGGTTTTCCCAACCCTGCTTGAAAGTGTGCATTATTTACACAACAAAAATCTCACATTTTTAAACTAGCTTTAAACGTTTTGTAAACTAGCCCAACAAGCACACTGTGCCATTTGAAAGGGTTATTTAAAGTCCATAATCTATGTGAAGTACACGCAATAACTAACCTTGAAAGGTAAGAAAACTAATCAGATGGCAAAGAAAAGGCAAAGATAACAAAAGGTTAAACCCTGAATTTCCGTGGTGAACAATGGAATACTGAATCTATCGGTCTTCTAACACAGGGCACTTTGTGCCTCAAGTCACAGCTCAGCTGGCGCTGGCTAACTTTGGAAACAAATCTGTCAGTCGAGAATCCACAAAAAAACCCGGCCTTAAGAGTCATCTATAAATGGATCACTTTCCCCATGGAGATTAGTTTACATGAAAAGATAAATCCACAAACGCTACACAGGGCAAAAAAATATTCACTCATTCATGCATGAATGACCCTTGTCCGATTCCATGTCTTTTTGTCAGCCTGAGACTGGAGTTCAAGAAAAAAGTGAGAGCAAGGTGGTTTTGAGACTTTATTTAGAAAAGATATTAATTGTAACCAAAAGTAATTATGCCTATGCTATATTTAAAGAAATGAGTATTTGGAAAGCAGCATAATCCGTTCTCCAAATAACTAATCTGTGAAGATGTGGAGGACTCGTGTGAACAAGCAGCGCAGCGATTCAGAGCCACACTGCAAGCCACTGCTGTCCATCTGAACCATCGTCGTCCACGAGCCCCAACGGCCCTCCAGGAAACACTGCCTCTGCCCGAGAGCTGAAGAAACCTGCAGCAGACTGCTTCCGTCTCGCTCTTTCATTCTCATGGAGATTCAAGCACGCTTTCCAACAGCGAGCCAGTATTTTTAGATCACTGCCATGACACAGCTGTGTTTAAGAGATGGTCATCACTGTCTCACTTTACAACTCGACAGGAATGCATTCATTCTGCTCTTCCTGGGTAACTGAACTGGAACAGCGCATCTTTATCCAATCCCGATGCCGCAGCCCCGGGCCAGAGGCAGGAGTGCCGAAAGCACAGCAGGCAGCCGGCAGATTACCGGCAGCAGTGAGCTTTCCTGGCACCAAGACTCAGTCTGTTCCCTGCAATTACTGGCACGCACAGGGACTGCGTTTTACAGGAAAGGCCAGCACTTGCACATCGTGGCCGTGAAGAATCGGGGCAACACACAGAAGCTGTAAATGATTACGATTCGCAGTGGAAAGATCGACAAACATTGCAGGCGCAGGAAGAGCACAGCCGTGCCCGTCAGCCGCAGTGTTTGCCAGAGCTGAGGGACGTGTTCCCCAGTTTAACAGGTGGTTAGCACCTTCCAGCTCTGCCCATTCGCACCCAACTGGTGACTGCTAGTCTCCTACAAAAGAAACTGCCCAGAATCATGACCCACTGGTCTTGGTCAATGACAAAGTTGGCAAGCCAGGACTTCTCTGCAGGGGTTCAGAAAGCCGGCTTTCAGACTAGGGCACTGCAATAAACCCTTTTCCATTTCCCAAAACACAGACTGATCAAACTTTTTTTTCTAACATCTTCAGGTTAAGCAAACATGCTGGGGAATAAAAAGCACTGCAGTCCGGTTTCACATGCTGCAAATCGGAGAGCGTTCTGAACGAACACACCCCGCCCACGACCGCAGGCCTCCTGGGAGCGATCCCTTGCTGGGCACTGTCGAGGGGAGGCTGCGACAGACACCTGCGCCCGTTGCGATCCCGTTTCACATCACACAGGAAGCCACAGGCTTCCGAGACCACCTGAATGCGGTACGAGAACGCTACAGGCGAGCCAAGCCTAGGAAAAGACCTTCACTCCACTGCAAAGAAACAAAAAGCACTTTGAGGGAAACAAGTGTACGAGCGCTATTGATCTAGTTGCAGCATTATCTTTAACAATCCGGTTTACGTGTGCAGGAATGAGCTCGTCATGCTGGCCTTCTGAATCACTGGGTACAAGGCTGACGTGCGCAGTGATCACACAGAGCAACACTCAGCCTGTTTAACCAGGAGAAACTTGGCTCTTTGACGTCAGTCCTTCTTTGGAGAATTTAACCAACTCCGTCAAGTCTTTTCAGTTCAACATCAATTTCACCAAGTGCTTTAAGGTATTACAAATAAAAAAAAAACCCTTATCCAAGGGCACACAAATCCAGTTGCCATGTACGCAGCCGATACGACTGAATGGAAACACATTTTGAGCTGAAGTACTTTCCGACAGAAAAATAAACAGCCTCAAACCCTGAGCGCACAATCTGTAAGTGAGCTTCAGTTGCCTCCTGGCAGAGAGACAGCTGTCATGTACCCCACCGTTTCCTAGGTTACCATAGCCTGTGACCTCTCTTTGAACTCACTGCAAAGCAGCCTGGGACAGAGGCACAATTATAGGATCTGCTTCTTTCGGATCTACCTTATTTGGGCCCACCAGGTTATGACTTAAGGATCCACTGAACTGCTAAAACCTAGATTAACGAGAGTTCTCTCTCACTACTTGAAAGTTTATTCTTGCTTGAATAAACAGGCAGGTGCAACAGTGCTTTATTTAGAACAAAGTTGTGCACAAGGGAACTTATATCTTGTGAAATTTACGTGCACAACAGAAGACCACTCCAGGTGTCAAAGTTGTAATAGTCGTTGGGTCAGCACTAAAAACTGCCGGGCACCCAAGAACAACAGAAACACTTCAAACTGGGAAAGAAAATGGCTTGGACTAATCTTGAAACACCAGCACAAGCTCACAGGGAGACTCGTAGTGTTTGTACAGAGAGAAACGGGGAGAAAGAGCTATATGCCAGCCAGGGCACCTCACAGAATCAAGCCATCGGAAAACAGATCCGGCGATGAGCCAGCTCAGCTTCGTCCCTGCGATGGCAAGAGTACGACGCGCTGCCAACACCACAAACTAGGACAAATATCTGCTTCATTAAAAAAAAAAAACCATCGGCAGGAAAAGAAAGCTTGTTCAGAGAGCAAGTGGACTCAAAGTAACATGCTAACAACCGAACCAGGAAGTGGTGCTCCAGCCTTACATAGACAAAGGGTGCAAGGAATTCAGTCCACTGACTCAGCAAAGCAAACTGGACACCATGCTATTTTAAACAAAACTGCAGCAGGCACATGTACGGTACAGGGACAAAAAAAGCAACCATTATTTTTACTTTTGTTTAGAAACCAGCTTGCCTGCCATTGCAGATTTCCTTCCCCATCAAGAACACTGATAATGATTAACAAAGTGGAGGCATTTAGTCTGGACCTGTTCATGCACCAGCAGAAAATTAAATCGCCTAGAGCACACAACACAGGACATGCTGTATCAGGCCTTCAGCACTTGATCTGGAAAGATAATGCAGTCAAACAGCACTGGCTGTATAATTTACCAGCTGGGCACTTGAGGGAGAGCACTTAATACAATCTTAATTCACTGCTACTGTTTATACTGCAGGTTCCACTCACAACTTTCTCTTTTTATACACACACATCATCTACAGCCACGGATTAAAGCCCGTGGTGGGTCAAATGTTTTCCAAGAATATTACTTCCGAATGGAAGACAACGGCCATCCATCCATTTTCTAACAGTTTATCCAATTCAGGGCTGCAAAGGAGCCGGAGTCTATCCCAGCAAACAACAGACAAGGCAGGACACACCCTGGACAGGACACCAGTCCATTGCAGTGCAGACACAGACCCTTGCAAACTCAGACCAGGGCCAATTAACCTCCTGGTATGTCTTTGTCTTTCTCTCAGAAAGCTGTTCACAATACAATACAACACACAAACACTAGACAGTCTGTGCTCTAGATACCATGCTGTTAACAAACCTAAACAGCCAGCTTCTGCAGGAGCTGGTTAACATCAATACTGTAGTCCTGCAAGACTGAGGCTATTACAGAGGCTCCGCACAAGTCAAAGACAGACAGGTGGTGTAAAACGCATGCAGCGTTATGTGCACAGCTCCTTTCAGCACGCTACGGGATTAAACCCCTGGAATACCACTGCCACAGAAAAATAAACTTCAATCACTGTGTCGAAATGCATGACCAGGGAACCTGTCGAACATCTGTGCCCACAGCCAACATCTAAAACAATCAGAGCAACACGGTTCCCAAAGAATGAGAAGGAACGGGGGGTTCTTCCCCCGTTGGGGCTCACTGTACAGAATGTGATGCTACGTAGCCAGACAGTCAGGAATGGGTTAACTACCTTTGACATCGGCAGGCACGAGGGTCCCAGGGCTGAGGTCCTGGTGAGGCAGGCCCCATAGTCAGGGCCCCTCCCTGATGCATGTACAAACCACACCCTCCTTCCTGCAGCCCTGAACAGCCACAGTCCCCAGTCATGCCCCACGGACCCAAGGCTCTCCTGCTGAGTCAGTCTGCAAGCTCTCCATTTGCATATGTTGTATCAGATCTGCACAGCAGCACTTCAGCTTTCACAGGCTTAAGCAGTCCTTGTTAGCGTATAAGGAACTCAACTAGAATAACGACCATTAAGATCAACTAGATAAGGACTGCCGGCAGTGGCAGTGCTACAGACCGCCCTGGGCAGTCCACGTGTTTAAAGACGACCCCCGATGACAACAAACTGGTTCCCCCTGTCATCATTAGCAAAATCCAAAGACATTCAAAGATGACAAAATCAAGCTGATTCATGCACTTTTGAGCTCCATGGGTTAAAATAAAAACAGCTCCATTGAAAATGCAGAAACGTTCAGGCGGGTAACGGCTCTGATGCTCCGGCTCTCTCCCCCCTGAAGCCCCAGCTCCTCCTCCCCTCCGTCTGTGACGGGACCTGTGCCGGCCGCAGGCTCCTCCGTGACGGTGCCGTGACCCCCCACACTCCGCTCAGAAGTGTATTTCTACTTTGAACTAAAGCCCCCCACAGCACATCCCTCTCACTGCTGCCCGTGTGCTCCTGGAGCCGGCAGCTCCTTCACCAGTTTAAACCCACACTCAGGACTCAGCCGCTTAATTTATTTAAAAAAATCTCCTTATCTCCTTCCCCCCCCATTATTTATCTCCAGCTTAATTTCTTTTCAGTGTTATTGCAATTCTTTTTCTTTTTTAACCCTGTCAAGAGCCCCAAACACTGTGGGCGCACATGGACACTGAAACAAATCCTTCCCTACATAAACCATCGGACTGGAACGACAGAGGAAACCTGTCTTGCCCGCATCCATACGCAGGTTCCTCAGCAGGCAGTGCCGTTCTGCACACAGCAGTACTGACAGCAGGCTCAAGCCCAGCTGTTCAACATTTTGCTTTTTAAACATGATGCTGTCCCTTTAAGAGGCCATGTGAGATGTACTTTTTTTTTTTACATTTGTTGGGTGGGTAGTGTACAGCTCTTATATTATATAGCTATTATCGCTATCTGATAGCTACTTTTTTTAAAACTGCCTTTCCATGCAAATACAATTTTAAATCTTTATCTGCACAAAAGGTCGATTGGCAGATTAGGAGCTTTGTACAATGGGCCCAGACTGTTGGGAGCCACAGATCAGAAGGCAGGTGCCGGTACAAACCCAGGAGGAAGGCCCACAGGAGCAGTCAGATCACTGCGTAGGCATGTGGGGCTCCTCGCAGGGACAGTACCAGCCGAAGGCACCGGGAGCTCTGGAAATCAGGCCAGCAGGTTTCCAGTCAACCCCGTGTGGAGAACCTCCACTGTGGGTGTGCCCGGGGAGCAACAACGCTCTTTATCTAGGTGTCCGTCTCAACATGGAAGGAAGAAGGCGCCACCTGAGGTCACTCAGAGTGTGTACTGCCCCGCGCCCAAAAGCTCAGGGGGGAGGGGAGGGGGGCTGTGCTCGCCCCCTCAGCTTTTGTTCAAGGCGCTGCTGAGCATTGCTGGCAGTGCCTCTCGTGGACAGACGCTCTGTCTCTCTGTCTGCGGGGACCCCCTGAGGCAACGATTTCGGCAGCACAGGCAGAGCAGGACTGCTGCAGCACCACCATGTCAAAGCTTGCAAAAAAAAAATAATAAAAATTAAAGGCACGTGAAAATGCATTAAGCAAAAGTAAGGGCCTGGTTTGAGAAGCCGGTCCGTCACCCCAGTGCAGGAGCTGCTGGTCTCTCCAGCGCCCCCTACAGGGGCTCCGTCTCACCCCGCAGGATGAAGACGCAATACCGTCCCAGACTCCCGTCCTGCGCCCGGCTCGAACTCGGCTGCCTCCTTCCGAACCACCTCGGATTATCTTTGCTCCCGATCCCGTGTCAGCCCCTCTCGATCGCCTTTCGGATGCTAACGGGGGGGGTTGTCAGGCGTTCAGTCCCACTGCCGAACGCTCCTGGCCTCCCTCGGCTCCGGCCCACTGCCCTGCGGGCGCGCCGAGCTCGAACCCCAGCGGGGCAGCCCGCAGCCCTTCGCCGGCAGGGATACTGTTGCTTTAAGAAGAACCCAGCTGGGCCAGCAGATCGGGCTCAGCAGGAAAAAAAAAAACTTTCGGGGGGGAAAAAAAAGTTGCAGATCTCAACAGTTGTTAAATTTTCAGTGAATAAAGGCCAGATCAGACGTCATTTTCAGGTACGGCCTCTATTTTAGCGTGAGCCCTTATTATAATTAATTATCACCCCGAGCCGGACGGGCCATTACACCGGGCCCTAATCTGGCTGGCAACAGGAAGAATTTAATCCCTACTCCTGGGTCCCGGCACGTACTCCGCTTCCAACTCGTGTGTTCAGCGTTTTAAAAGCTTAACTGAGGCTTTAAAAGCAGGAATAGGTGGGCACATAACCTGATATGCATTTAAATAACGATCGGGTCAGCTTTTGACTAAACGATATAAAAATGAAGTACGACACCACACCAATTCGTCAGCCAACGGGAAAGAAAAAGTTTTAGACACTCAAAACGGCAGCAAAACTGAAAGAACCGACGAAAAACAGCCTCTTGAACGACACAATCACGTCCGCGCTGACCGCCAACACTCACTCTCCCAGCGCCTGAATTAAAGGTGTAGTTTGGAAAAGGGACAACTCGAATTCCACAAGAATTCCTTTTTTTTTTACTCGCTTCGTAACGACAGGCGTTTAGAGAAGAAACAACTTTTTTTTTCCTAAAAAAAAAAGAAAAGTGGTTTGTTCCTGGACTGCAGCCAAAGCCTTACACAGCACCTACTGTGCGGCAGCCTTTTTAAAATATTCACTCTTTACAACTTCACCCAGGCGGCCAAGGAGATAGAAAATAACACGCCAGGGGGCCAGAAGAAGAAGGGGGCAAAGAAAGTGTGCCGACATGACACAGTTCATCACACTCTGTAGTGAATTAGTATCATTTTGATCAACTCTATCGCTGTTACTATGGCTACGCCTGTAGCGCTCGGAGCCCGTCAGCGCTTCACCTTTGCTGTTACAAAAAAACAACAGCCCGATTTTCGGAAAATGAACACCCTGCACCTGAGTGCAGCCCATCTGAGCCGGCGAGGGCTCCCGGTGGGCTCCCGGTGTGCCCCGGGCCCGGCCGGCCGCAGCGCCGTGTAGCCGTGAGCAGAACAGCGCCCGACAGGCAGCGGGTCGGGTCCGGTCGGGTCCGGTCGGCTCGGCTCGGCTCGGCGCTCCGGCTGGCAGCTGAGCTGGCTGGGACTTGGGGGGGGGGGGGGGGCAGGAGGTTGGTGGTGGACAGACTTCTCTCACTTTATAACACACGAACCTCAACCTCGCTTCTCCGCGGCAGTCGCCCCGGACTGCGGGAAACTGGCTCGACAAAGTGCACTCTGCCGCAGCTCTCAAGCCCCTCTCTTTAAAAGGATTCACAACGGCTCGCACAAACCCCGTCGCTCGCCTTTCTGCTCGGCTCAGGCAGGCCGTCCTCCGCGGGTCCCCGGCTGAAGATGTATTTACCTTGCAGTTCTGGTAACTCTCCAGCGCCCTGTACGCGGTCTCTGTTAACTTCACATGCAGCACCGAGATCCTGTCTGCCTTCCTTCTCCCACAGGCCAGCCCATACCTCCCATCCTCACACAGCGCCGCCATCTTCAGCTCCCCCCAGCCATCCCACTGACGAGCTGACATATAGCGGCTCAACCTAACCCACAGCCTGCTCGCTGCGCAGGGAGGGACCAGCCCAGCGCCGGCTCCGGCAGCTCCGTGAGGCGGGGCGCTCTGATTGGCTTTCCAGACCTTGCTCACTGGACGCACAGCTGAGCTGCACGGTCTGTAACTCCCCTGCCTGTTGCTAGCTGCCGCTCGTCCGTCTGACCGGCAGCGATCAGCTGTGCCGCGGCAGCAACGTCACAAAGGGCGTTATGACGCCAGGGAGCTCGAGTGCTTGCGTCACCGCTGTTCGCTCATAGCGGCGCCCGGCATTTTTCACGAGACAGTTGAGAGCCCCCCGTAGTTTTTTTAAAATAATTTTTTAGGCTCCCTTAATCCATCGTTTCCCCAATCTTGGTGCTAAAGGGACTCTTTTCCCTACGCCTTTTTCTTCCGATTCGTTTGTACTGTCCCTCTTGTCCCATATGCTGCTTTGAGCAAACAACTTTTAACAGGCGATTAGTTCACCATGGACTGACGCTGTCAGACTCCCCCACACTCTTCGGCTTCCTTATACATTGATCAGACATGATCAGCCAAGAGACCTGACTGAGGGAAGCTCAGAATATCTGAAAGGGGCACAGGGTAGATACGAATGCCACACAAGTGCTAAATGCACATATTGAAGGAGGTCCTTCCTCCCTATGGCTGTCAGGGTGTATCACACTGCCCAAGGCTAGGACTGTTAGCCCCTCATCTGCTCATCTATGGACAGCATGTTGCACTCATGTACTTTTGGACACTGCATTAATATACTGTTTATATTGTGGTACTTTTAATCTGCACATATTTTATTGATTTACAGTGTCTATGAGCATATTTTGCACACACTCAGTATATTTTATTGTGTATTGCTGTACTTATTTTATTCTAATTTTAAGTCTATTCTGATCTCTGTTTTTGCTTGTCTTTGGCTGGGCTGCTGTAACACCTCAGTTTCCCTTCGGGATCAATAAAGTCTGATCTATCTATGTTTTCTGAACATGCCGCAAGCAGAAATCTGAAATCAATCCGCCTGCGATGAAGAACCGGACTGGAGCAGAGAGCAGAAGTTGCCTTGAGGAAGGGGTCCAATCCAGGAGTTTCCAGCCTCACTCCTGAAGAAGCCCAAGACCCAGTTATCACAGGTCACCAGAAATCAGTGGTTTCTAGGCGTTCCAGGGCTCAGCGCACCAGGCCAGTTCCAGAAGCGATGTCCCTCGTCTGGGGTCGAGACAGTGGAAGACTCCGCAGCAGAAGACCGGTCCACTGGCCTGGCGGAGCTATCCTCTGTCCAGGGAACAGCGCTCTGCGTGTTCGGAGCTCAGAGCTCGGAGCCCGGGTGTGACCGAGATCAGACCCTGGCAGGGGCAGGGAGAGCTGTCCTTCTCACGTGAAGACATGGGACAACTTCACTGTGATCAATTAAGCCAGAGATTCACTAAAAGGAGTAAACTGGAGAGCATCCAGAAACAAAATCTGCATACTCGTCAGCTCTCAAGACCTCTCCCTTCATTGAGCAGATTATTCGCTAAATTGATGAATAATGCGTCAGAGCTGCCCATCTTGAAGAACCCATGAGCTACCAGGCTAACCCAGGGCTGTCCTGACCTGCTCCAGCACAGTCCACAGGTTTCCTGGGTCTCTTCAAGCATCACCAGCGCAGGAAGAGCTGGGAGAGGCTGCTCAACTGGTCCCATTAAACAAATATTGACCCGCTGGCACACCAAGCCCCGCCCCGGGCTAACTGGATTATGGCTCTTCTGCAGGCTTGGATCTGGCTGTTTTGCCCCCCAACCTCCTGCAACCCAGTCCGCTACCACAGGGTAATGCAATTGTTTTCCAAAGCAAAAACGGTATAAGATGTAATCACAATTTGATTAAAACCAGCGTTCTCTAAGGAAAACAGTACAGGGTCACTAAGTTCCTTAGTCCTGGTCCTGGAGTCACCCTGTGTCTTCTGCTTTTCATTTCAGCTGCGCTGTTATGCAAGTAAGCCTATTGAACACTTATTGAAACTATTTGATTGTTTTTTAACTATTGTCTGCACTTGAGAGTCAGTCTCACAAATAATCTCCTTTATGTGCATCATTTCCACAGAGTACAGGGTTCCACAGAGAAGGATTCAGTAGTGTTGCTTCCCTGCCATTTTAGAAGAGCTCTTGTGTTTATTACTCCCCAGTGTGCACACAGGTGAGAACGGCACTGTCGCTCTGATAAGTGCTCTCAGTGATGCAGGGACCCACTGGTTACATTCAGCCAAGTCATTGAAACAGTACACCTGAGAGAGCAGACAGCTGAACCCAGCCTCTGGCACAGAGCTCATGCTCATTTCTAACACATCATTTAAAAATAAAACTTAGAACTATCAAAGTTCAGCTAGGATGAAAATCAGGGTAGGTGCTCTATAGGAGTAACCCCTGGGAAATGCAGTCCTAAAGGACAGAAAGAGATGTTTGTGGAATATGTATACCCAGGTCTGAGGCAGGCAAATCGGTATTGTATTCTAAAGAAGACAAATTGGTATTCAGATCTGAAGTCTTGCTCTGCAAATGCAGGCATAACTCCTACAACCTCAGAGAAAGAGAAAACAAACCAGTACTTGACTCTTTGCATTGGAGGGTTTAAGAGATGCTATCTGTCCATCCATCCAGTCCTGAACACTTTATCCACTATAAGGTCACAGAGCAAGACATGGGCTCAAGGCAGGATACACACTGGGCAGGGCACACACACACACTCACACCTGGGCCAGTTTCCCAGCAGCTAATTAACCTACCAGCATGTCTTCGGGACGCTTCGGTCTCGGAGAGAGTTTCAGGTGCTGGGTGGGGACTCTAATGCGGGCAGGAGGGTCAACAACAATGGGCACTAGGGGAGTTTCGCCCCACAGGAGGCTGGGGTGAGGCAGGGAGCCCCCTGTCCTCTCTGCTAGCAGAGGCAGTGAGGCAGGACCCCAACTTCGAGGGACTTG